GGGTGGGGGGGGACTACACACGCCAAGCCTTCTCCCCACAGGGAGAACAAAACTACAGACAGAGCAGGAGGCCAAAGGTCACCATCACTTTCAAGGGGGTCTGGGCCCCATGGCCTCCCTCCTGTGCTCCTGAACCTGCACGGCTATGACTGCACCCTCTCTGGCCTGTGTGCTCTCAGCGCCCTGCTCAGTCCTTTGTGGTATCGAAACCCACTGACTTCTGCTGTGTGTCTCCTTGGGACCCCGACTGCGGCAAGTCCTCGTCTGGGAGAACACATGACTGTTCATTGGTAAGACTGGGAATTAGGCCCGAAGAGGTGAGATGACTTGCCCACCGCCTGAGCCACCTGCAACCCCACCCCCAGAGCTGCCACTCAGGAAACGGAACAGAGGCCACGAGGTTAGGAATGACTGCGCTCGGGGAAGACCCACACACCCCCTTCCCCTGGTTAGAGATGAAATGTCAGAGTCTGGCGGGTCTTAGGCCTCCCAGCCAGATGTGAGGGAGGATGTCAGGAGGGCCGGGGATGTAGTGTTGGGCCAGCTCAGGGTAACGGCGGTCAGCCTGGTACCCACTAGGTTCCCCTGGAGGCAGGACCTGCCCAGAAGAGCCAACCTTGACCGGAACTCCTCAGGAGTGACCATTCAGTGAGGTAAGGGAGGCTCCGAGGCCAAGAAAGTCCCACTGGGGCGGGGGGAGGGGAGGGACTAGTGATGGCCCACAGGAGACAAGGCGTGAGTGTGCCCCACAAGTCAGTCTGCCCTGGCGGGCACGCACATCCTCGTTGAGTGAGCAAATAAACAAACGCAGCTGGTTCAGACCTCCCTTTCTCAAGCCAGCAGTTCTTTCTGTCTCTAAGAGGCTGGCGGCTGGAATTGTTTCTGCCCAGAATGTCCTCCCGCCTGGGCTTCTGCTACCCACTTCCTCCTTCGGAGAAGTTCTCTTCCATTGTCAATTATAGCCCCTACCAGAGGCCCAGTGCATGAAATCGTGCCCGGGTGGGGTTCCTCTGGGTGGCCGGCAGGGATTGGCTGAAACCCACAGTCCAATACTGTCTGCAGCTCCTACCTGCTGCTCCCGCTCATCCTGGCCCCACTGTGCCTGCTGTGGGCTTGCGCCCAATCAGTCCCGGAGAGGCTCCCGCTGCCTCAGCAGCACTCACCAGCCACGAGCCCTGCGTCTGGCACCCTCTCAAGGGGCGTGGCCTGCGGAATCGGGCTGAAACTGGCTCTCCGACATCCCCTGAGGGGTCCTGATTGCGAGAGGGCGCAGGCCAGGCTGAGGGACCCCACCAGTGCACAATGGGTCCAGGGACTGACCGTGGGAGGGCTCCAGGGCGTGCAGGCCCATCTCGCTCAATCCCGATGATCAGCCGGACCCCAGCAGCAAGCTAACCTACCAGTTGGAGCGTCTGCCCCTGGTGGTCAGTGCATGTCATAGCAAGAGGTGCAGCAGCCTTAGCATATTATTAGCATATTACACTTTGATTGGTTGTTCAGTTGTTCTGCCGTTCGGTCTATTTGCATATTATCCTTTTATTATATAGGATTGGTGGTCACCTGACCCAGATGTAGCCAATAGAAGTGCTCTGTCCTCCTCACCACATGATTGGTCTAGGGGTGGGCATGTGATCCAAGCTAGTTAATCACTCTTCCCAGGCCTCTCTGTGGAGAGCTACCAGGGAGGACTTTTATTTGGGGATTCCCAGCTGATAAAAAGTGAGTCTGGCCCAGCCAATGAAGCTCAATGGTTGAGCATTGACCTATGAACTAGGAGGTCAGGGTTCGATTCCTGGTCAGGGTTCAATTCCCGATCAGGGCACATGCCGGGATTGCAGGCTTGATCCCCAGTAGGGGGAGTGCAGGAGGCAACCAATTAATGATTCTCTCTCATCATTGATGTTTCTTTCCCTTCCTCTCTGAAATCAATAAAAAAAAAATATATATTTAAAAAGTGAGTCTGGTGACAGCTGCTGTCTTGTCACTGGGTAGAGGATGAGGCCAGGCAGGGACAGGAGAGCCCCAGTTCCCTCCTAGGGCCTGGTTCCTGCAGCTCCCCCCACCCCCACCCCCACGGTTTATATCCGCACATCTTTCCCAGCGAAGTGACAGGACGCTTGCCCTTCTTCCTTAAGCAAGTTAGAGGCTGCTTCTATCGCTGGGGCTCACCGACTCATCCTTTCCACAGGCCCAGAATGAATATGGACAGGGGCCAGGCCAGCATCAGCTGCTGGGGATTCACAGATGACCCAACACTGAGCAAGCCAGCAGGAGGGAGAGAGGGACCCAGACAACCAGCACAGCCCGAGTGCTGACAACCACACCGAGGGCGGGGGAGGGGGGTGGCGTCCGGCTGGGGGCTGGTGAGGGAAGGCACCAGGAAGGTGATGGCATTTGGGTGGTTCCTGAGGGGCTTCTGCAGGGAGTTTTGGGGGGTTGGTGGAGAGAGAGGGCTTCTCAGCAAAAGGAGGGTCTGAGGAAGGGCTGTGCGCATTCAGGGAGCTGCAAGTCAGTATAAGACTTGGGGCTGGGGAATGAAGGCGGGAGCCATGAACGGCTCTGACCCCAGGAGGCCTTGGATTTCAGGTGGATGCGTCTCATTCCTATAGGCACTAGGAAGACACAGAATGTTCTGGGCTTGATCAGACATGAGAGGATCTAGAAGGGGAGAAGCTGAAGGTAGGGAGGCCAGTGAGGAGGCTGGGCCAGCAATCCAGACAGGAGAGATGGGGCCTGAACCAGGGTCCTGGCAGAGGCATGGGGAGAAACGGCTGGATGCTAGGGGTAGTGAAGGACTTGGTGTCAGAGTAAAGGCACTGGGCAGACGGTGGAGTCATCGGGGATTCAGGAGGAGTGCAGGTGAAGGGGGAGGATGCAGAGCTGGATTTGAACCCGAAGTACCTGTGGGACATCCCAGTGGGGGCGGATGTGTGGGAGAAAGTGCCGCCAAGTGGATGCTGGCCTGAACACCACAGGGGACAACTGTCGGCGCTCACCCAGCACCCACTCAGCTGGTGATCGGAGGCACAGAAGGTACATACCACGGTTGGGGCATTGATGATGGACAGGTTATAGCCAAACTGAAAAGTTCCACCAATGCCAGCTGCACAGATGGTCTGGAGCAGGACTCTGCCCTGAGTCTAAGGAGAGAAGGGAGGACACGGAGTGAGTAGTAACAGCCTCCACCACCCTCCCAGGACCAGGACCTACCAATTATAACACTGCGATGCGTGGGAACCAGGCACTGACAGGAAACTGAGGCACAGGGGGAGGCGTTACCTACGTCACGTGGCTGGCAGAGAGCAGGACCCCACCCAGTCTCCTGCTCTGAAAACTCAGTGTATGCTGAAAGCTCTCTACTCCTCCAAAGGTATAACAGTGAACTACTTCCCTCAGCTGTCTTCCTAGGCATTCACAAAGTAGCTGACGATATAGAAATCAAGTCATTGATCTTTCCCCAGTAAATCAGACTGCCTTTCTTGTTTTGGCAAATTCGCCTGCAAATTTAAAGTGCTACAAATCAAATTTATTATTATTTTTTTAAATAAGTAGAAGTTTCATGGCAGAAGGGTATTTGGCTACAGAGTTTCTGAAGAATTCCCCGAGGACTATTGATTCATTCATCAGTGCAATTCCGAGTGCCTGTCCCATACTGGCACTGTGCTGAGGACAGATACAGCCAGGAAGAGGCAAGCATGCATTCACCATTTGGGGAGATACTGTGCAGGGGTGTGTGTGTCGGGGGGGCTCCAGAGGGCAGGATTCTGCCAGAGATCTTGCCACAGGTCTGCAGACAGATCCATGACAGGCACCCTGGCTGCCCACAGCTCCTATAAGGCCTACGTAACTTCCCCCCAAGCTGGAAGCTACGGGAGGAAGCCAGGTGAGGACTCAGGGGTTTAGTCTCACTGTAGTCACATCACAGCCCCAGACGGGCTGCAAGAGACCCAATCCCTGATGATGACAAGTGAGCCCCTGTGGCAGGAGATGCTGGCAGGCCTCCAAGAAGCAGGAAATGGTTTAGTTCACTGAGATTGTTGGTGGAGACTGCCTAGAGCAAGCATGTCAAACTCGCAGCCCTGGGCCGCATGTGGCCCACAACGAGTATTTTTGCGGCTCAGCCAATATAACGGTATGTAAGAAATGTTTCAATAAAAATGTCGTAACTTCATTTTTACAATATCCTGTTAAACATAATTATTAATAACGAACTACAATGTTCGCTATTGGCTGGTTTGTGTTGCTTTCGTTTCGCTTACGCATATGTGCAGGCGCACCATATCTCTCCACTAATACTAGCAGTGAATATTCTAGCAGCCGATGGCCACGTCATTAGTCTTGGACTGACTTGTTTGGTGTGCTCAAAAGGAAGTAATTCGCTTTCGGAGAACAAGAAAAATAGGTTTATTTGCATTACGCTTATTAATTTGTGTGGTTATTCAGTGTCTGGTAAGTTAATGTTCAAGAAAAAATATTAATTTTTATTAAAATGTTCTATTACTTTATGTTAACAGACTCCTTTATATTTCAGCCCTTTGTATTCAGCATGTCTTAATTTGTGCAGTTATTCAGTGTCTGGTATATTAATGTTCAAGAAAAAATACTAATTTTTATTAAAATGTTCACTTTTATGTTAATGATTACTTGTGTATTTCAGCCCTTTGTATTCAGCATGTCTCTATCGAAATAAACCTATGTTTCTATGAAGACTCAAGCTTTTGTTTTTTTTGTGGCCCACATAAACTTAAACCTTGCTTATTTGGTCCGTGTTAACCTTTGAGTTTGACATGCTTGGCCTAGAGCCATGGCTGGTCATGAAAAGCAACCAGACACTAACTATGATGGTGATTATTAATTCAGTGAACAAATCTTTCTTGCCTCCCTATTATGGACCTTAAACCGACTGCTCTAGCTGCTGGGGACATAGCAGTGAACAAAAGAGACAAAATCTGTGACCTCATGGAGCTTTTCTTCCAGTGTGGGAGACAGGCAGTAACATGAACAAGGAAATAGTATGTCAGCTGGTGCGACTGAGACAGGAAGCAGAGAAGGTGAGAGGGCGTGCTTGGAGAGGGTGGTCAAGGTTATGCCCTGAGAAGGTGACGTCTGTATTAAAGGAGATAAGGGGGAGCCCCAGGCAGACAGCTCATGGAAATCAGTGCAGGCTGGGGGAAACCCTGAGATGAGCGGTGTGGGCTGCCCCCAATCTCTCTGTGAGGCAGGACAAGACAGGGTTTTATAGGAGATGGAGGTTGGGGAGAGAGGTGAGGATGGCACACAGTCAAAGAAGGGGCTGAGGTAGCCAGAATCGGGGCGTCTCTGGCCTGCCTGAGGGCACAAGACAGCGCAGGCAGCCCGAGGGATGCTAGCCTGGGAGGCTGGGGTCCGCCGGTCCTGCAGATGTGTGACCACATGCAACCCTGCACTAGCCTCCTGGCCATACCTGCGCATGAACACCTGCCTGCCTCTTAGGCTGCAAGTGCTTTGTCCGACCTCTGCCCACACACCTAACTCCACGGGACAAGCAAGCACGAGACCGTTTTTGTACATCTGCCGTCTCCGTTAAGCCTTGCAGCGTGGCTGCGCCTGTGCAGTTCACGCCGAGCTGCAATTCCTCCTCTGACAGGCCAGCGCCAGGCAGGTTTTGGAATGTCGACCTTCCCAGATGGCAGGAGGGCATCGGGCGCGTGCACATTTCCCCAGCATTCAGGAGCAGGGAGGCCTGCGGGGTGGGCTTTGCCCCGCGAGGGAAGCGAGCGCGGTCGCGGC